TGATGGCACCGCTGAGGTGCAGGCCACTTGGGTCGCGGACAGTACGTGTTCAGGAACACCGCTGGCTGTGGGCAGTGAGACATTGAATTTGACGCTGGAAGCGCCGACGAGCGTGTCGATGACGCTGTCAGGCAATGCAGCGCGCCAACTGACACGCCCCAGCCCCTATGTTTTGGCGGACAAGGGTGTGCACGTGAGCAGCAGCGCTGTGCGCGTCCAACTCTCTTATGCGTCGGGCCGTGTGTTGGACCGTGAGAGTGATGCTCGCACGATCTACAACACGAGCGGTCTGAACGGCCGGTTTGAGTTGAACTTTGATGGCGAGGGCGTACCAACGCTTGCTGCCGTTGCCAATGCAACGAATGGCACGGGCGAGCTTTGTGTGAGCTTTGTGCATACACCGTTGACGCAGTGCGTGACGATTGAGCTTGTGTTGCTGGATGAGGTGACTGTGAGTGCGCAACCCTATTTTGGTGGAAGCCAACGCGGCAACATTGTGGAGAGCGTGTTGAGTCAACTTGGTCAGACAGGTGTGTATCAGCAAGCACGGATGACGGCCAGCATATCTATGACTGATGGCACATCACAGAGCGTGTCAACGGACGTGGTGTATGCGCTGAGCAATACTGTTGGAAGTGGCTTGGAGCTTGTATCGAGCCGTATTGTGCAGCGCTCTGGCAGTGCGACGAGTGGTGAGGCTGAGGTTGTTGCGACCTACGGTGGGCTGTACGTGAGTGAGCCGTTTACGTTGGTTCTGGACAGCACGCCACTGCAGGTGTCGTCATTGAGCAGCTTGTCCCTGACGCCCTCGTCGACGGCCGACGGCAGCACGCCATTGTTCCCCAGAGTCAATGTGGCAATGGGTGACGGCACGAGCTACAACGCATTCATGGGCTCGAATGGCCAGACCCGACTTGTGGAAGGGCTGTTGACGTTTTCTCGTGTGGAGAGTGTTTCTGGAGTCGCCACGGTCGATAGCACGACCGGCGAGATTACGGGCGAGGCCAATTACCACGCGGCACTGACGCTGCGGTGTGCAGTAGTGGGTCAGAGCGGCATGAGTGCCACGACGACCTTTTACAGCAATCTTGCCGCGAGCACTGTTGGTGATGTGGATCTGGGCAGCTCGAGTGGCGCTGCCTTGCCTGTG